GCAGGAATTGTCATTGCTCAGTCTGGAAAACAACAAACATGCCCAGCTCCAGAGGTACAGGGTAGAGAGGGCTGGAGAGTTCAGGAGGAGATCCTCCACCCCTTGCTGCCCCAGTCAGTGACCAACTGGGAAAAATATTCTGCCTGTGCGATAGCTTTAAAATTACTTCTAATCTAGTGACATAGGATTGTTAATTTCAACTTTTAAATATTGAAAATGTAGTTTTCTTTTGAATTCTAGGAGGAGAGAATTTTCCACCAAAGTTGATGATCTCTCCTTGAGGGGTTTTATCAGTGGAAATTTAGAAGAGCTGTAGTGTCCAGCAATGGGGGCTGATTGTTCCCTCTCGCAGGAGATAATTCCTCCCACATGTTTCAAACTACAGGAGAGATTTGATGTCTGATGACTTTCTTTAATAGTTCTTACTAATGGACGTTGACTGCACATGGCTGATTGTAAACATTCTTGAAACCTGTAACTGTTTATAAAATATTCTTCATTTTTAGTGAAAATCACAATTTATAAAAATAAAGGCCACAGCATTTGTTCCTTTCAAATATACAACTCTCTGAACAAAAATACAAGCTCTGACTCTTACTCTTGGTGCTGAGGAGCAGAGCCCTGTAGTTCATCCCACACCACACAGAGTGGAAGGCCACCTTGTGAAAGGAGATTCAGGAGCTTTATTACTGCCATAATCATCTTTCCTATGGTCCTCCTTTGGTAATAGATAATTGTCTCTTTCTCTGCAGATAGGCTGTTTTTCACCAGGGGTTGGGGTAAGTGGGGTAGGGAGAAGATGTTAAAATTCAGTCTTTAATACTAATTTCTAATACGAAGATTCAGTTTGAAGTAGCAGGTGGCTCATATTGCTTGTAGCTGAATGCAGTCTATGATCATTTACATGTCATTTTAACTGCTTCTCTGCTAATCAGGTTCCCAGTTTTTAATAAAGCTGGAAAAATGTGATTTTAATCCTCCATGTTTTGATTTCTTACATAGGTTGACAATTTAATCTCTTGGGCTAGAACTCAAAGTTGTTGATGCTTCTCTCAAGGCCTCCCTCAGTCACACCTGTCTTGCTTTCTTGCAGTTGTCCTATGGTCCTTGTATTGATGGCAGAGGAGGGGGAAAAGTATGATTATCCCCAGGTGCATTGGGTTACATTGGCTATGTAGAAATAAGGCAAACAGGCATTTGTGGCAAGTAGTGGGATGCAAACTGAGACAACCTATTATATTTTTCAATAACTTGGCTTCAGAGAGTGTTTTAGAGGATTTAATTTTTATTTCTCATTGTTATATTTATTATTCAAGATAGATGTTTTCTCTGTGTAGATGTTTGCTCTAGTTGGTGTTGTTTTTAAAATTCTAGTTGATGTTTCCTTAAGTTCTTTTTTTCTGTTGTTGTTAATTACCAATCACAAGAAAACAGGCAACACCAAAGCCTTCTGTTCACTATCCACTTAAAGCTGTTAATGTGTAGATGTACAACAGGCTTATGCTAATTTCATATTCTTCTTTAAAGCATGAAAGCTCCATTATTTTCTTTCAAAAGTAGTTTTAAAGCAAGTACATTTTCTTTACTGACCTAATGATTTTTGCATTTAATACAGCTGGGAAGTACTGCAGTACACAGCAAAGTAAATTGTAAAATGGAGGGATCTTTTATTGTTATAAATACAGATACACACACCACAAAAATACACTGCCATAAATACTACTAATAGCTTTGCATTAAGCTAAATTAGTGCTGGAGGCTGTGTCTTATGTGCTTAGGGAGGCTAAATTTTGGAGGTTTTTTGAGAAAATCCAACTGTGAATCAGTAAAGAGCAGGAAAGGAGGAAGGAAGAGCAGATCCAAGCTCACCTAACATATGTACACACTTTGAACAAAGCTTTCAACCCTCAGCTGTTATGTTCAGAGGAGCAATTGCTGCATTTTGCATAGTGTAGTGTTCCCTGGCCCAACCAGCCATGCTTGCACCAGGCCAAGGTTTGGTTTTGAGGCAGAACCACCTCCTTTGAAATCAGGGCTCCAGGTTCAGGACTTACCACTCCTGCCTCCCCAGTCCTCACCTAACAGTTCCTCAGGTAGAGTCAAACTTGCAGCTGTGTGTGCTACTAGTAACACTTCCTTCTTGTTGGGAACGAAGAAAAAACTCACTGCATAGAGTATTATGGGGGGGAAAAAGCTGATTTAGATACTTGAAGTAGTGAATACCTTGTAGTTTTGAGGGACAGTCATTTGATGTTTTAAACCTTTGTGCTAACAGAAAACTTGATGAGATAATGACTTGCTACAGTAACCTTCTGGAGTCAGATTCATAGCTTTAATTATAACTTGGCTCGTGACTGCAGTGCCTTCTGACAAGCACTTGTCTGGGTTACCAGCCAGCTATCAGGTTTGCAAAACCCACTCTGATCAAGAGGCATTTGAGTAATACCAAGAACATTTGGAGAAGAGGATTAAGGGACATCAGCAAGAGTGGGAAGTCCCTGCTCTCCTTTACTGCCATGGTTTTCTTTTAATTGTCTCTTGCTTCTAAATGGGGGGGGGGGGGGAAGAAATCTGCCCCTCTTCTTTGGCTGCCTTGGACTAGCACTTCTCCATTAGACAGACTGCAGGCATTTGGACACAGCTTCACTGAGTTGAACATTTTGGGGCTAAATTAACTTTCAGTTCTGTACAAAGAGAGTGGATACATTTTGGTTGACAAGAAGGGAGCTGGGAAAGGAGGGAGGAAAACCTCCTGATAATTCTGCCTTGCTCAAATCTCTCAGCAGGGAAATACTGAGAATGAAACAAGGGTAATAGGGGGACAGGTCACTCTGGTGCCAGCTCATATTTTTTCTGAAGCAATAACATTAGATTCCTCGAGGAACTGGTAACACTTTCTGGACGTTCCCCTGGTTGGCAGTAGTGGAGCTTTGAAGGAATCAGGTGTGAGGTGTGGGTAGAAAAGAAAGCAGAAGATAACTTGGGGTATGACCAGACTTGTGCTTTTCACCTCAAATGTCCAATGGGTGTGTTTGAAAACTGGAGGGAAAGCCCATAGCCCCCAGGCTATGTACTCCCTGTGCTCTTTGGTCTGTGCCTGCTGCCACCCCTGAGTGAAGAACATACACCTGACACTCCAGAGCCCAGGGCAGGGGTAGGTGGTGCTGCCAGCTGGTCCTTTCTGTAGCCTGCCCTGCAGCTGCCTCTGCTCACTGAGCTGTGGGTTGGTTTTGCTTTGCAAGGTCCAGCTGGCTCTGGAAAGGGCTGGTGCTCAGCTTCTAGCAAGGTTAAGGTTCCTGGTTTTGTTTTTTTGAAAAGAGACACTGGGTTTGTGCTGTGCTCCACAGGGCGAGAGACACTGGTGAGCCCAAGAGCAGGATGTTCAGATTTGGATGGGTAGGTTCCTGCTCACATAGAGGACCTAAACTCTAAACCTTCTGGTCAGCTAAGCTACATTGCAGCTGTAGTTTGTGTAGATTTTGTAAAGCTATTTCTGGGTTATTGTTTAATCTCCAGATGTATTAAATAGTAACATTCTATCTTTTTTCCTTTCCTTTTTTTTCCCAGTCAAATATAGAAGTCAGGGAGAGCAGAATTTGGGACACAATACTATAAGCACAGCTGATGACTGTGTGAATGCAGTTTTGTTCTGGGGTGGTTTCTTTTTCCTAGGCTGCTTTATATTCCCTAATGATGATAAATATCCCTTGAAGCTCAGGGCTTTTCCATTTTGATGTTAAAGGGAACTTTGCTGATTTTTTTGCTTTTATGAAGTAGCTGCATTTTACAGATGTGGCTGTTGTAAGTTCCAATTGATACCTGTGGATATTTATTTTTCTACCCATATGCATAAGTGGTCTTCTGTGTTCCTTAAATATGTAAAGATGTTAATTTTTTTAATTGTTCAAGATACACTATGCAAGTTAAGTAGCTTTTAAGCTCAGTGAAAATGACTGTAGATGAAACAGCTTTCAGGCATGAATACAGCTTCCCAAGCAGTGTTTCCAGTAACACTCAGCTTATTTGTTTTAAAATTAATTTGGTGGTGAAAACAATTATATAAAAGCCACTTGCTATAGAGAAAACAGTAATAAAATACTATTTCTAGAATCTTTACATCAGTTATTGGAGTAGGTTAAAGTAGAATTACAAAATATGCTTATTTTTAACAATGCTGGCCAGTCACCACTGGAATTTTGTTATTCAGACTCCATGTGTAAAGCAACGAACTGCAAAGTGCAGGTGCTCACAAAATGGTGTTCATATAATTTTAGTAATGGTCATTTCACAGCACTCCTGCTGTTCCTCTCAGGCTCCCTTTCCAGCATGAAGCTTAGAACTGTTGTGGTCTCTGTGTAAGTACAGACAAAAGTAATTTGACTGCATTGTGTCTGCTGAGTACAGAACATCTTACTAGTTGTTAGACATGAGGACCTTTGCATCAGACTCCATGCTCTCGTTATCTCAGGTTGTTGTTAATTACACTGCATCTTGAAAGGTGTGAACAGAAGTGCCGAGTGTAGGATTGTAAGAACCCCAGTGAAAAGTAATGTTGATTTCCTACAGGTTTGGTTGAAGTTCCTAGTTAAAAGAGCAGGTATGGAAGCAGCTGCAAAGCTGTCACTCCACTAATGCTGTTGGACACCAGGGATCCATGTTTTCCAGGTGGAAGCAGGATTGCTAAAGTTTGGTTTCTGTCGTTGCAGGTGTGACGAGTATGTCACCCAGCTGGATGAAATGCAGAGGCAACTTGCAGCAGCTGAGGATGAGAAGAAGACTCTAAACTCCTTGCTCCGGATGGCCATCCAGCAGAAGCTGGCACTGACCCAGCGCCTGGAGCACCTGGAGCTGGACCACGAGCAGTCCAAAAGGGTGCGCACAAAATCTGCTTCCAAAGCCAAGAGCAGTAACCCTAGTGTAAGTCACCTGCGGTCCTGTGGAGACAGGGCTGAGGGGTCTGTCCTTAACAACCAGGTGTTTTGTAGTGAGAAGTATAAAATCTGTTGTGACTAGCACAGGTGTGTAGAAAAATAATATAATGCATCTTATGCTGTAACTGTCAGCGTAAATCCCCACTGTCTAATGTCACAGTGAGTTGACTTGTACTAGTATGTTGTTGAAACAGGTAATACAAGTTGTATTATGGTGGTCTTAACTGTAACTAATTCATAAGGGTGGGGATGCTATTAACAAGTTAATAGTGGAAAGGAATTAGCTTTTTCCACAATTAACATGTTTTGCTGTTTATGGTAAGTGTTACGAGTACACCTGATAGGCCATGTCTGGTGCTACTAACTGTAGTTTGTATGGCACAAATGGGATCCTTTCTCCAGGGTTGCAGCATGCTTCAAGAAATGCTTTCACAGACAGGAACAAACAGCAAACCTTCCTTCTTGTTAAGTGGTGAAAAGGAAATGTTAAAATTAGAGGCATGTCTTGAGAATGCAGAGCATTTTGAAACTGAAGCCAAAATTAATCTGCCTGTTGTGGCAGATATTAGGAACTTGCTGTGATACCACCACTGACTAAAGTCCTAAAGCTTTTATAGGCTATAAAAGCTAGAGAAAAAAAAACTTGATAGGGTATGTTATTTATACTCTGCTTCCCTCTCTTCAGAGTGTTAACCACAAGAAACTTGCACATTTATATAAAAAAATATGCAATATTTACCCCATCTGATAGAAAACTGAAAAATTGGAGAATTGGGATCCTACCTGATAGACGGTTCCACTTGAAGAAGTTCTGCTGTGGAAAAGTGTCATGTCCTGAAAGGATCTTTGTGGTCTCATGTTGCTCCTTGCAATTCTAACGCTTTGGAAAGAATCTGTTTTATATATTATTGTAGCCACACAACATATATCTGTAGAATTAATGTGACTATGGTCTAGTATTGTCAGTCACAAAGCAGTTTTTCTCAGCTTTCAGTATTAATTTCAATAGGATAGTATTTCAGAGCTCTGATCATTTTTTTATAGACACAAAAGATGTTGCATTTCTTATGCAAGCACATGCTCACAGGGCTCTACATTATAGGCACAGGAAATTGAACCAGATCATCCTGCTAATAATTATTTATGAAGTAGCATAGTATACATATTAATCTTGAAAAACAAACCTCTGTCTGCTATTGAATTTTTAAGGGGCCTTTTTAGCCACTTAATTACAATATGTTTGATAATACAAAAGTGTACTTCATAATTGGTGCCTAGAGAAGAGAAAAAGTTTGACAACATTGTTTCTAAAATTGTGCAAAATTTGTGAAGCACAAGGCACGCTTTTTTCTTTAAAGGAGACTTCTGAAGTGCCTAGCCTCAAACTTCATTTCAATGTAAAGCCCTGTCCATTTTGTACTCTTTCCAATAATTTTGTATGCCTATAGTATTACTAAAAGCAATGGGAGACTGTGCAGTTGCCTGCTGCCTACTGATGTTTTCCAAAGCCATTCTGACATTCCTGGTGTCTGCTGCCTCATCTCACTCCCATTTCTTCTAGATGTCAGCAGCATGCTTGGTGCACTGCCCCTCTGCCTATAAGTAGTCAGGAGATAGCACAGTACTAATAGAAGGTAATAAGGAGCACAGCTTCTTTTCCCAGTGAGGGAAAACCACATGAGATTTTGGTTTCCCAGGGGAGGGAAGAAAAGGAAAAAAAGAAAAAAAAGAAGAAAAAAAAAAAGGACTTGTAAATTCATCCAAGACATTAAGTGAATGGAATTGTGGAAACCCTGCTGCAAAGCTGGGGAGCATCACGATGCTGCCATCCTGTGCCAGGATTGCACTGACCAATCTCCAGAGCAGGGAAAAACCCGAGTGGTTTCAGTCTATTATGTTGTTCAAACATCCTTGACTGAGAAATTGAAACAAAGAGCAATTCTGGCTTGAGAAACTAAGCTTGTGCATCTGTTATTACTTTTGTTAGGAAACGCTGAATTCTCCTGAATTTGAGCTTTAATATTGCTAATTAGCAGGTTTGATATTTTAGAAGCAAGACATCTTTTAACAATTTTCAATCCTGCTTGCTCTTGTTTGCTGCACAATCTTCCAAAAGGCCTTTACTCTTCTCATTCCTGAATTAAGTGTAATTTAAAAATACTTGGTAAAAGCAGGCGTTTGAGTGCTAACTCTCTTTGCTCCAATAGAAACAGTTTCACTTTTGCTTCCACTATGGTAGGGAGCTTTAATACAATTTTCACTGCTTCCATGTCTCTAATAGCAGTATTTTTGCAGAATACTAATGGCAAAAAAGTAGATTGGAGAAACTAATCAAATGCATTGTTAGTTGTTTTGTTTGGTTGGTTGGTTATTTTTAAATCAACTGGAACTTTTATAAAGATTTCAGTGTTACCAGATGGTGACTATTATGATCAGTCTTGGCTCACACTTTCAGTTCCAAGTATGAACAGTTTTGCCCTTAGCCCAATATCTTAGTTGTCATTTCCATCTTCATTCATTTCTGTGGATCTTTAAAAATCAAAAAAGCCAAGAAGCCTGACTGCTGTTTGAGCTTGTCAAGGTGATGTTTTCACTTCTTTCAGCACCTGTTATAAAAAGAAATGAGGAATGGTGGTAAGGTGACTTGCTCCTGCTCTTTGTATCTTTAGATAGTATTTCAGACTCAGTCTTGTCATTCTTGATTAGCAATGTCTTGAAATGTACATTTGCTGTAAGTCTTTCATACCACTCCCAGTGGGATGGGATAAAGCATGGAAAATTCCTTCAGCCATCACCTACCTCTGCAATTGGGCTCCTCCTCTGAGTGACGATCTCTGCGCTGCATGACACACTGACCTGCATGTTTCTGGAGAACCTAAAGCTTCACTGAAAATGTTTCTTGCACACTCCTTGCTGTTTACCTGTGCTTGAACAGCAAAGCTTTATTCAGTACTTGTAAGAAACCTTTCTGCAAAGCTTCCAGGCTGAGCCCATCAAACCTTGTTTCATTGTCTTGGAGAGCATCTTTGAGCTAAACCGGCTGCTTCTGCCCCTAACAGACACCCCAACCCACTAACCTGCCTTTGCAGCACATTGTTTGCAGTTCTTTAATTGAGAAAGAAACACTGATTATTTTTTTTTCTAATGCTATTTTATTTTTCCATTTTTCAGCTGTAGAGTAGTCCCTGGAGAAGGCCTTTCCAACAGTGCAACAGCATTTCTTAACCTCTTGCATTATGGTTAAAAGTGGTAGCCCGTTGCACAAAGAATGGAAACCACTGACCTGATCCTAACTTTTGAAAACACCTTTTCCTATTATACTACCTGAAACTTTCCTTTTATGTCTGAAGCTATAAAACAAAACGAGCTTTACCTATAAGTGCTGCTGCAGTAAGAAAACTTACAAGTGCTGAAGAAACCTACTTCAAATGTCATGATCACCATGTTAGTTTATGATCTACTAGAAATATTTGGGTGGGGGAATTTCTTATTTCATTGCAGATGCTCTTTTTTTTATCCGATTGTTAAACCTGTGCACTTTTGATATTTTGACATTTTACTTTAGCTTCGTTAATTCCTTATGTAGAAGAGTTTATATAAATGTAGTGGTTTGTGCTCATAGTTTCTCTCCAATTTGGGCTTGTGATTTTTTGAATTCTACATCAGCACATAGCAGAGATTTTTGGGGGGGCTCTAGATTGTGATTAGAAAAGAGTTTCAACAAAAAGCAGGAGCTCTGCTAAACTGTGTGCTGTGCTTCAGCTTTTTTATTATGATAAAATATTAAGCTTTGTATGTTTAAATTGCTGATTTTTTTTTTTTTTTAACTGCCATGTTCATTAAGAAATCCAGGGTATTCAAATTCTGGGGGTTTTTTCATATTGTATTATTATTCTTAGGAATAGTTCAATGTAACAAGAAGAAAACTTGACTTTGCTCTGGTTAAAACAGTAATAGGCACTTGAAAAAATATTAAATAATTAGTATTACCTATAAATTCCAGAATTCCTGGGTTTTAGGAAGTTGAAGTATTATTGATTAACAGAATTTTATACAACTATAGCAGTTAAATTCCAAATTGGAATTGTTTTGTTACTTTTTCATTTTATTGTGCCAAATTATGGTACATTTAGAAAGAAAAATTCTAAAGTTGTCAATGATAGGGTGTTCTCAGCACCTTTCTGTCACTAATTATTGCCAGTAGTGCCTTTCATAATTTTAAGGGAGACTCTTAGAATAGCTTAGTCCAAGTCCTGTCACTTAGGAGAAATGGAATGACTGTTTTGGGATTTAGTAAAGACATGGAGCAATAAGTGCAAAGTGAACTCCCCTTTCGCACATTTTTCGTGGGTAGTCTGACTAGAGAGATGATATATTCAAGGAATTGTAAAAAATTCTGTTAGTCAGTGATATTTCATCATGCAAATCTGTGCAAATTCAGGGGTATAGAGAAAAAAAAAACAAAACACACCAACCTAAACAAACCCAAATACACTTTGGGAACCAAATGGACTCTTGTTGAACAAATGTAACACATTTGTGGTGACAGTACAGAGGTTGTATCAGGAATATTGATGTCACGTTAGCTTTGTCTGGTGGTGGATGCAGGTAACCTTAGTATTGTTTGCAAATGTGAACAACAATTGCTAGAAGAATTGATATCTTCTCTTTGCATGTTGTATCTAACCATTGTAATTTCAGGAAACGGAAACGGAGCAGCGCATCAACCAGCTGCACCTCCTGCTTGTTGAGGCTCACCTGGGTGATGAGATTGGTACTTGCTGGGGGAGCCTTCCCACTCCTCAAAAAAAGTACAAATTGAAATAATATTCTTGACAGCGGGAACAAGATTTCTGTTTGCTGGAATCAAAGCATTCTTATTCCTAGATGTGGGGACTTAGATTTCCATCTTCTGTTACAGTATTGATTCATAAGAAATATTGTTGCATTTAAAAGTACTACATTTATATGTGGGTATTTATTTGAAATGATGTCGAAGTACTGTATTATGTTTTATGTGCATTACCTTTTAGTGGTGGATTGGTCTCCATTTAATGTCATATGCATGTATCCTTGCCAAGTAACCTTGACACAGATATGGGGGGGGGGGAAGATTAAAGAGAAAATGGGGGAATGTCTTAAAAGTATAACTGTGTGTTAATTGGATAACCTTAGGAGGCATAGAGAGCAAAACATTACTTCCAAATTAATATAAAAGCATTTAAAGTAGGAAAGCAATCTGCCTGCATAAAGGTATAGTCACATTGGCAGTATCAATAAATGAGAAAAGGAATCTTGTTTCTGCTTCTTGATTTCATGGGTGAGGGTGACACCATTTGAATTGGTCCTCCTGAGCT